ATTTTCTATTTAAGGTAGTTTATGACATTTATTTTCTTATTACTTGATAATATTTCTGTGTCATTCTTGCATTCTATTATACTTGATAATTGCTCTTAATTGGACTAGCTTCCTATTAATATCTTCAAAAGAAAATGGAATACACAGAGTTACAGTATCAAAAAGAATTGGCTGACACTGAAATATTTTAGAAAGTAACATGATCAAAAGCCAGTGGTAAAGAAGGAAGGAGTTTAAGGTGCACTAAAGGAAAAGTGGCATCCACTTCCTAAACAACATGCCTCTGGAGACTCTATGAACTTTGATAAATGATGATAGTTATAGAAAGGCTTCAGACCTTTTGTTCATAGGTTGCTATGAGTTGTGCTTGACTCGATGTCAATCATCAACAACAAAGGCATTGTCAAAAAAGAAAGCCCCAGGAATTGATGGGATTAACTAACCTGTCTCAAATGACATATGCAACCCTGGATGGGCTCACCAGTCTATGCCAGGAAATTTGAAGGACAGTTACCTGACTGACTGACAGACTGGAAGAGATCCGTATTTGTTCCTATTCTCAAGAAATGTGATCCAACAGAATGTAGTAACTATGGAACAGCTTATTGAAAAACAACTAGAATACTGCATAGACAGAGAACTGCCAGAAATTCAATCTAGATTTAAAAGAGGCTGTGGCACCAGGGATATCATTGCTAATGTCACATGGATCCTGGGTGAAAGCAGATAATACCAGAAGAATTCCTATTTGTGCTTTATTTACTATGCAAATCTATTTGACCATGTGGATCTTAACAAATGATGGGTAACATTGAGACGAATGGGAATCTCAAAATACTTAGTTGTGCTGGGGTGAAACTTTATCTAGACCAAGAGGTTATCATGTAAACAAAGCATGGGAATACTGCATGCTTTAAAATTAGGACAAGTATCAATCAAGGTCATATTGTTTCTCCATACTTATTTAAAATGTATGCTGATCAAATGACTCGAGAAGCTGGACTTTATGAAAAACAATGTGGCTCAGGTTTGCCGGAAGACTCATACATAGCCTAGCCTTCATTATGCAAATTTCACTTCGTTACTGAACCTTTCAAGAATTGAAGCAGTTGCTGCAGAAAGTTAAACATTGCAGTCATCCAAGCAGATTGCATCTCAGTGTCAAGAATACAAAAATCCTTTCCACTGGATCAATAGGCAACATCATGATAGATGGAGAATAGACTGATGATGTCAAGAACATCATTTTACTTGGATTAATAATCAGTACATTTGGCATCAGCAGCCAGGCGATGTATTACAGTAAGAAACTGTAGTCAGGGACCTCTCCAAATAGTTGGGAAGCAGTGATATCAATTTGAGGACTAAGGTGCATCTAATTTAGGCCATGGTTTTTTCAATCACTTGCTTTGCATCCAAGAGCTGCACAATGAACAAAGATGACAGAATAACGTATGCCTTTGAACTGTGGTGTTGGAATAGAGTGCTGAAGATCCCATGAATTCTCAAAAAACAACAGATATGTCTTGTAGAAGGTGCAGCCACAGTGCCCAGTGGGGACAAAAGATGTTGAAGCTTGCACTCACATGTTGCTAGGTGACGTTATTCTTTGTTGTTGTTAGGTGCCGTTGAGTTGAGCATGACTCATTAACCCTGTGAACACTGTTCTGTCCTGTGCCGTCTTCACACTTCCTGACAGACAAGAGCCCCATCACAGCAGTCACCATGTCAGTACACCTGCATGAGGATCTTCCTCTCGGTCACCCACCCTCCACCTTTCCCAGCATCATGTTCCTCTCCAAGGAGTAGCCCCTCCTAGCAATATGTCCAAAGTATGTGTGGCGATGCCTCATCATTTTTGCCTCCAAAGAGCACTCCGGCTGTACCATCTTAAAGGCATATCTGTTCATTCTCTTGGCCATCAATGGGATATTCAGTGCTCTTCTCCAAAACCATAACTCAAAGGAGTCTGTTCATTTTTGTCATCCTTATTCATTGTCCAGTTGGATCCTAGTGGGTAAGAGTTTGTGATTTACTTGAAAGCTGAGGGTGTTAGCAATCAAATGTGAGCTGATTAATTGTATCTGATCTGATTTACACTCAGCTTGGTTGGGAAAGCATCTTGTGGAGGTGAACAGTATCTGGTTGGCGGGCCTTTTTATTTAAAAGTCTTTTTGGTACTACCTATAAGTGAGCCTTTAGCTTGGCATAGTTGGATCCTGGTGGTTGAGAGTTAGTGATTTAATTGAAAGGTGGGGGTATAAATTGTGTTTGGACATAATGTTCTAAGTGGTGCAGCACTTGTCTGTCAGTTCGCTTTACTGAGATTACTTGGGGCTGCTGTGATACTGAAAAGTTTGCTACTGGTGTGTCAAATTTGGAAAGGGTTTCCCATTGTGGATGGGTTTTAGTAGAGCTCCCAGATTAAAACAGACTAGGAAGCAGGATGGGCCATCTAATTCCTAAATAAAAGGCCTTTGAAAACCCTATGAACACTAAATAAAGAGGATAGTTATGGTAGTGTAGGGGTAGAGCCCAGATTTGAAGTCAGTTGAAATGAGGAAAATCAGTAAGTTTATTTTTCCTTGTAGGAGTTTATCATTTTTGGAAAGATAGAGGGACATTCTTGCATTCTCTTATATTTCCATTCTTGGAAAGGAGAAGACCCTCAACCATGTATATTGATACAGTGACTATACAAATGGACTTGAGTATGATGATGGACAGGGTTCAGATCGGTTGTTCATAGAGTCACTATGAATCCTACTTGATTTGAAGATAATTAACAGCAACCCTAAATTGTCTATTTATCTAATTCAGTTATCGCCATTTTATCATCTCTATGTAGCTCAGCCTTCTCAATACATGATAGCATAGGCAAGCTATGTTGTATTTCATTTTCTAGTCCTTTTATTTTCTTTCTCCCCTCTGTCCTCAGAGCTGCTTTTGAATTGGATCCAGTTGAGCAACTCTGCCTTTTGGTAGCTGTGCAATGACCACAAAAGAAAAAGTTATTTTTTTAATATATTGGCAAACAGAAGCTGAAAGTAATGAAATAAACAATGCATTGTTTTGTATGCTTCTAACCATACTTGTGTTTCATATTGATACCTTCAATCCTTAGAATTTTCAGCTTTAGTGAAAGAGATCTATTCAATCACTATAATGTATGCTGCTTCATAACTCTGCTTACTAGAGGCCTAATAACTAAGGAGAAGTAAATTGATCTCATGTATATATCTTTTTTTCCTATAAT